TAGCAGTTTCCAAAGGATACCCAAAGGGGAACTTTAGTTTTAATCTAAATTTCAGCAAAATCTATACCCATAAATTACCCTTCCAAAGCCAGGATCTTTGAGTTTCACACAAATCTGACCAAAGAGGTGGGAGGTCAAGAATGCTGCCTTTTACGGTTCTGCAGAGAAATGAAAAATCAGGCACAGAATAGTCTCTCCTTTCAACAGAAAAGCATTTAAAAAGTAAATGTAAGAGGTTTTTAAGTAAAAGACAAAAAATCAACAGCAGCCTCAGCCTTACCTCATCCAGCACACATGCCTTCCAGATACTCCATCATGGCTACAGTCCTGAAGACACAGATCTAGCTGTCCACATGTTACATGCTTGTACACATAATTTATATATTTTTGTTCATTTAAATAAAAACAGAAGGTCAAATCCTAAACTAGCAAGTGCCTATCAAATCCTGGGTAGCCAGGTCTGACGGGCATAATTAAACTCAATATAAACTAGTACACAGACAGTACATTGCTACTCAAAACAACAGTGTCTGTGCAGACTCTCCTACCGGCCTGCAAAGGCAGGAAGGTATAATCTCCCCCAATTTGTTTCCACTAATGGTATGTTGGAGACAGTTTACCTCTTAACCTCAGCAGTTTATAAAAAATAAAAGAAAATCAAGAAAAATATTGCTCTTACCCAACCAAAGTTAAGATATCCAGTGGATTCTAATTTAGTGGTATAATCTAGAAAGGTAAATAAAACAGGTTGGGCACAGTGGCTCATGCCTCTAACCCCAGCACTCTGAGAGACTGCTTTAGCTCAAGAGTTGGAGACCAGCTTGGGCAAGAGAGTTAGACCCTGCCTCTACTAAAAATAAAAAAATTAGTTGGGTGCTATGGTGGGCACCTGTAGTCCCAGCTACTCTGGAGGCTGAGGCAGGAGGATCACTTGAGCCCAGGAGTTTGAGGTTGCTGTGAGCTGGGCTGATACCACTGCACTCTAGCCCAGGCTTTAGAGAGAGACTGTTTCAAAAAAAGATAAAAAAAACTTCTTTACTCTTTCTAACATCTTTCCAAAGAATTTTTAAGTACCATGAAAAACTAAGTCTATGAAAATTGAAGTCTAAGTATTTTTTATCTACTTCTGCTAATGATTCTGAGCAGCAACAACTAATGGGTTTATAAATTATCCTGGAAAATTAGGTCTTAACAAATTTCTTTGAAAGCCAAAGGGGAGGGGAGGGTGATTTTATGCTTTGGGGTTTTGAGAATAAAACAAAAACATCAACAAAAATAATGGAGCTTTGTAAAAATAAGGCTGATACCCTGGTTTTAGAACTTTCTATGATCTGGGTTAGGAAGCACTCTATTTTGTTCTCAAAATTTTTACCCTTTGTAAAAACTCATTAATGTTTTAAAACTAACATACCTTCAGCACCTCTTTTAAATAACTGTTATTGTTTCAAAAAGAAACAACTTATCAAGTTCAAAGGCGCTTCCCTCCCTTGCAGAAGGACAGAAGCTCTGAGCACCTGGCTGCTGCCTGTGGCCAGCTGTAAGGTCAGGCCAGAGGCTTCCCTCATCCACAGGCTCAGCCTTTTCCTATCAGGAAGCTTGGCCAGTTAATGAACCCCTGAGCTGAAATACTGGTCAGCTTGGTCACTGCCCCACACCCTTGGTGACACAGCATGCTGTTGTCTACAGGACTCTGGCTGAGTTGTCCTCCATCTTCCCTCCCTACATACACCCTTCAGGGAGGCCTTATGCCCACCTGGCAATGATCACCTTTATCTGTGCCTCAGTCTAGGTCCATCCATTCACTTACTCCTCTGGCATCTCCATTTGGATGCCTCAGAGGCATCTCAAAACTAGCCCAAACCAAAAAAAAAAAAAAAAAAAAA